TTTTTGCCTTCCACCACTTGCCACTTCAACCTGGATTCATATTTGGATTCTTCTTGCTCAACCTCTCGTCACGTAAGGAAGATTCCTCACAGATTACTCCAGTCCCTCCTGCGTTCCCTTAACCTCTTCCTCTGCCCCTCAGGTGATCCTGTATATATATATATATATATATATATATATATATATTGTAAATATTTTCCCGACACCTGTACAGAGACGTCATCACCTTTTAATATCACTTTTTGTAAATAAACACTGTTCTTTTGGTACTTCGAGTCCTGGTCTCTGTTCAGTTTTCTGGTCCTTCATCCTGGGTACGACCTCGATCATAACAGGTGGGGTATCCCACAAAGAATTTCTAGTGACAACGGTCCACATTTTGCTAATCAGATACTTGAAGAAGTGTCCACCACACTGAACTTTGACCTGACTAAACATTGTGCATACCACCCACAAAGTGGAGGTGTAGTAGAAAGAGAGAATGGAACATTGAAAAACAAACTGACAAAAATCTGTGACGAGACAAAACTCAACTGGGTTACATGTTTACCCATTGCATCGATGTGCATGCGCAGAAGGGCTAAACATAACCTTAGCCCTTTTGAAATTTTATTTGCAGCTCCACCCAACCTGGGAGTGGGATCGGTGACCAGCCCAACTAATAACATGAAACACTGTGATCATAACATGTTTGCCTACTGCATTGAATTGACTAAACATTTAAAATCCCTCAGGTCTCAGGTCCAAGGAGGGCTTCCCAGCCCAGCTCAAGAACAACTGCATGACATAACCCCTGGAGAATTTGTTATGATTAAATCTTTCAGGAGGAAAAGGTGGAACTCCCCCAGGTGGACAGGTCCATTCCAGGTGCTGTTGATGACCCACACAGCTGTTAAGGTGGCTGAGCGAGCTACCTTGATCCACGCATCCCACTGTAAGCTGTTCAGAGGGACCAATCCACCATCAGAGGGAGGACAAGAAGAAGCCAAATCCCCATAAGTTCACTCAGTGCCATCGGGCAGCTGAGGCAGCAGCTTATCTTAGACGTTGAGTCTAAATAAGCTAGGACAGCTCACTCGCTAGGTTCTTCCCAAAGCTAGGCGAGGCGGCTCAATCACTGGGACTTAAACCTAGGTGACCCCCCCCCCCCCCAGGTTACCAAACCAGCCCCTGTTTCACTGCACCTTATCCATTGATCCATAAGGAACTCTCCACCCTCTGTTAGGAGTGCGCGGGGAACCCAGATGGTATGAGACCCAGAACGAGGCAGACACAGGAGAAGTACAAAAAGAACAGTGTTTATTATTTACAGTGATAATCAATCCACACGCTGCTTCTCAGCAACTCTTGGAAAGAGGGACGACAGGTTAATGTTGATCCAGAGGGGAAGACCAGAGTGGTTTGTTTGAAGGGCGTTTTTGTCCTTACAGTCCAAACCCGAAGGAGGGGAGCTGGTCCTTCAGTCCAAGGAGTGAGCAGCCGAGGGAAATCCAACGAGGGTCCAAGGGAACGAGGAAGGCTGGTAACTGGAGGCAAAAATGGCACGAGGAATACCTGACAGGCCGAGGGATCCAGATCAGGTCACGAGGAGATCCAAAAACACGAGGAACCAGGAAACTGGAAAAGAGAACACAGGTGAACAAATTCTTTTCACCTATACATATCTAGCTCAACAGTACTATACCATGAGAGGTGATATGCTCCAGCGATGAGTCACACTGGGCTGCAGCCTTTTGTAGATGGAGAGGCTCATCAGGCTGATGACCGCCAGGTGTTGTTAATCAGCGGCCATCAGCAAGGCAGGCTGCAGGCAGTGGGACCCTTACACCCTCCATCAAAAACTCTCTGCCCCTCTACACCCTACCAACTGCCCCCATAAAGAACTCTCCACTCTTCATCAGACTTTTTACAGGCTCTCCCCCCAGGAAAAGACACTGCAAAAATGGGCCTACTGTAACATCCATGGAAAACCAACCTAGCACTGGGCCTACGGTATTGTATGGAAAGTCATTGACAGACAGACTGCGGAGATTGTGGCAGTGAAGAAAATATTTGATGCTTTCAGAAACAGAACAGATGCCCAGCAAACATACAGAGAAATCCTGTTCCTCCAGGTGTTTGGAGATCACGTCAACATTGTCAAGCTTCTCAACATCATCCAAGCACAAAATGATAAAGACATTTACCTCATCTTTGAATACATGGATACGGACCTGCACGCTTTGATAAAGACAGGCTCTCTTCTGAAGGATATTCACAAGCGTTATGTCATGTACCAGCTCTTCAAAGCTATCAAATATCTCTATAGGTGTTTGTTTAGCCATTCTAATAAATTGTGGTTGCTGTTGTATACCTTGTATTCGCTCATTGTCCACACGTCTGATCTCAACTGCCCTCATTCCTGAACGCCTGGCAGAAACCTATGCCCTGTTACATAACAATGTCAATCCTGATTCCAATAAGTGTAACCCACCCACACACTCTACTGTTTTTGTCCTGACCAACAAGAAGACAACCATTACAGTATGTAAATATTTTATTTTATTATGTTTTCGCTTTTCACACTTTTGCATTTTATTTTTATTTCTTTTACTTTTGCTTGCTCTCATTACAGGGGTCTGTCCCCTACAAAAACAGCCTTAGCAGATTTTTAACTGATATTTATGATAGCCATATGTTAAACCATACTCCGTATGACACACGTGCCTTGAAAGTTCTGTTAATCAGTGTCTATATCCCTATTGGTACATATTTGTGTTATTATTGTTCCTATGGGAACAAAAGGGAGGAATTGTTGATATTTTCTGGGTTGTTAATATAAAAGTTTGATATGTTTACACAATTTACAGTATACTTTAAAATGATAATTAAAGTGTTTGCCTGCAGTTTTAGCTCTGAGTCTCAGAAAGGATCAGTACTTTGTGGAAATTAAAACATTGATACCAGTTTATTTTGTTCATCAATTTTATCGTCACTCTTAGAAGTCATTTACTTTATATCACACTCTGTTAAAGCTTATCTAAAACTGTAGCAGCTAAACCCCTTCAACATCAGTGTGTGAAACCTTCTAACTTCCATTTCTCAAACTTAGCTCCAGAACCAGTCACTGACCACAAACGTACTTGTAACGAACCCCGTATAATGGACCAAAATCACCACCACAAAAATCAATTAAATAAAGTTTATTAACTGATGAAAACGGCAGGATGGACCTCGGCAAGCTTTCGCAGACTGTGGACCGGTTCCAGGTTCCAATCACCGATCCACACGAACAGTCTAAAGATGGAGAACGGTTAGTGGTTGTGCAGGTGACGAGAGTGAAGACAAAGTCAGATGAAAAAACAACCACTAACCGTCTCAGTGATGATGGGGGTTCTGAAGCGCTGAAGCGGGTCCAGCTGACCCGGATGACTGCTGGAGGAGCTGGGTCTGGTGAGAGACGACAGTCGGCAGCAGCTGAAGCTTGCAGCGAGGTCTGCAGGATAAGCTGGTGTCTCCAGCACCGAGCGTGATCCAAAACAAGCGAGTGGTGGAGAGTAGAGCTGGTGGGGATGATCCGAGAGACGTGGTCGAGCAGGCGTGGGTCAGAACCGATGATCAGATGCCGAGATAATCCAAGGAGCAGACGAGAGACGAAGTCAGGAGGTCCGTGGGTCCAGAAGCCAGGAGGTCGAGCCGAGAGGAAGGGAACAGGAAACGACGGGAGGACAGAAACGAGTAAAACAGGAATACAAGGACTTGAGAGGACAGGACAGGGACAGAGCGTGGTCATGAGCGCGAGGTATTTACTAACAAAGTGTTCAACTACCGGGCACCGAAAAAGAGTCAGCTGTGAGCTTATAAAGGGAGAGGAGGACAGGTGCAGCCAGTTGAGCGCAATCAGCGCTGCTGGCTGCAGTGAAGACAATGTTAAACTAGGAGTGAAGACAAACCTCAACCCACATGCAGAGAAAGAAAAAGAAAAACAAAAGAGTAGATCCCCAGAACCAAAACAAGTGAACAGAGTGACACAAAAACCTAACTGACAGACGTGATTCGTGACAGATCCCCCCCTCAAGGAACGCCTCCCGGCGTTCCACCAGGTTGCTCAGGATGCAGGCGATGGAAGTCCCGGATCAAGGGCTTATCCAGGACGTGACGGGAAGGCACCCAGGACCGCTCCTCTGGTCCGTACCCCTCCCAATCGATGAGATACTGCAGACCCCAACCCCGCCGTCTAGAACGGAGGAGCCGGCGGATGGTGTAAGCCGGTGAACCATCGATCAGACGGGCGGGAGGGGGGGACGCAACAGGGGAATGAAAATGGGAGGAGGAGACAGGTTTGACACACGAAACATGAAAAGAGGGGTGGACACGTAAGGACTTGGGCAGAGTAAGACGAACAGACACGGGGTTAATGACCTTGGAGATGGGGAAAGGACCAATGAAGCGGGGGGCAAGTTTGCGAGAAGCAACCTTCAGGGGAAGGTTCTTCGTGGAGAGCCACACCTTCTGACCCACAGCATACTCAGGTTGGGGGGTCCTATGGCGGTCAGCCTTTTTACAGTAGGCAGCACGTGACTTAAGCAAGGCGGTCTTGGCCCTCCTCCACACCCTCTGGCAACGGAGAGCGGCGAGGTGGGCCGAGGGAACAGATGCCTCCCTCTCCTGAACAGAGATAACAGGCGGTTGGAAACCAAAAACAGTATAAAAAGGGGACAGACCAGTGGCAGATGAAGGGACGGAATTGAAGGCGTGCTCGATCCACGGGAGAGCAGAGCTCCACTTCTCGGGGTCGTTAAGACAGAGGAGCCTCAGTTTGCCCTTCACCTCCTGATTAGCCCTCTCAGTCTGACCGTCCGTCTCAGGGTGGAAGCCCGAGGAGAGGCTAATGGAAATACCCAGAAGATCACAAAACTCTTTCCAGAAGTGGGAGACAAACTGAGGCCCCCGATCAGAAACAATGTCTACAGGCAACCCATGAAGCCTGAAAACCTCACGAGCCATGACGTGAGCCAGTTCTTTAGAGGACGGTAACTTATGGAGGGGGACCAGATGAATCATTTTGGAGAAACGATCGACAATAGTGAGGATGACAGTGAAATTGTTAGAAGGTGGGAGACCAGTTACAAAGTCTATGCCTATATGAGACCAGGGACGTGAAGGGCAAGGAAGGGGGCGAAGAAGCCCCGATGGAGATCGTCTGGAGGTCTTGGACTGAGCACAGGCTGGACAAGACCGAACGTACAGGCAAACGTCCCTGGACATGGTCTCCCACCAAAATTGGGACCTGACAATGAAAAGGGTCTTGGCAAAACCTGGGTGACAATACAGCAGGGAGTTGTGACAAAAACGAATGACCTGTTTAACCATATCGGGAGGAACATATAAACGATCAGGTGGACAGTTAGCTGGAGGAGGACGTGTCTGGCTGAGGTCTCTCAGATCCTGCTCTAACTGGGTGATGGCCAGGCGGGCACTCTCAGGAAGGATAAAATTCTCCTCCTGAGCTGAGGGGGAATTATCCTCCTCCAAAATGCGAGACAGGGCATCGGGCTTTACATTTTTCTCCCCGGGTCGATAAGAGAGGGTGAAATTAAATCGAGAAAAAAACAAGGCCCACCTGGCCTGACGAGGATTAAGGCGACGAGTGGACCTGAGATATTCCAGGTTCTTGTGGTCAGTCCATACCTGGAACGGGAACCTGGAACCCTCCAGCCAGTGACGCCACTCCTCCAGAGCGAGCTTAACAGCAAGCAGCTCTCTGTCCCCAACATCATAATTCCTTTCTGCCGGGGAAAGGCTGCGGGAGAAGAAGGCGCAAGGGTGAAGACGCCCGTCCTTATTGCGCTGACTAAGAACCGCCCCTGCACCAATGCTGGAAGCGTCCACCTCCACTACAAACGGCTCCTCTGGATTGGGGGACTGCAGGATGGGAGCAGAAACAAAAAGTCTCTTAAGTTCGGTAAATGCGGTCTCTGCTGCAGTGGACCAGGAAAAACGAGACTTGGTAGAAGTGAGTTCATGAAGGGGTTTAGCGATGATACTGTAGCCCTTGATAAAACGTCTATAGAAATTAGCAAACCCCAAGAAACGTTGAAGCTGTTTGCGGTCCTTAGGAACGGGCCAATCCACCACAGCAGAGACCTTGCTGGAATCCATCTCGATCCTATTGGGGGACACAACAAAACCAAGGAATGATGTGGAAGAGACATGAAATTCACATTTCTCAGCCTTAACATATAGTCCATTCTGTAACAGGCGGGTGAGAACAGATCTCACTTGTTTACGATGAGAAATAATGTCCTTAGAAAACACAAGAATATCATCAAGATACACGAAAACAAATTTGCCGACCATGTCTCTTAACACGTTATTCACTAAAGTCTGAAACACGGCCGGTGCGTTGGTTAGCCCAAATGGCATTACCAAATACTCATAGTGCCCATCGGGGGTATTAAAAGCCGTCTTCCACTCGTCCCCCTCTCTGATGCGGACCAAGTGATAGGCATTCCTTAGATCTAATTTGGTGAAAATGTTAGCCCCCTGGATAAGGTCAAAAGCAGTGGACATAAGGGGAAGAGGATATTTGTTCTTAATAGTAATTTTGTTAAGTCCTCTGAAATCTATGCAAGGACGCAGAGACCCGTCCTTCTTTTTAACAAAAAAGAACCCAGCACCGGCAGGAGAGGCGGAAGGGCGGATGATGCCAGATTTCAGGGACCCCTGAATGTACTCTCTCATGGTGGCTTGTTCTGGGACTGAGAGAGAGTACAGAGCTCCTCTAGGAGGAGTAGACCCTGGAATAAGATCAATACCACAGTCGTACGGACGGTGAGGGGGAAGCGAGGTGGCCTTAGTTTTATTAAAGACCTTCTTAAGGTCGTGATACTCTCGGGGCACATTAGATATATCTGAATCATATGTCACATTCGTATCTACCGTTTCGACAGGGACCACAGCATCAAAAAGACATGTAGATAAACAATCATCTGACCACCCTAAAATCTCTCCCCTCCTCCAGTCTAGATGGGGATTATGTTTAATTAACCATGTGGTTCCTAAGACCACCGGAGCTTGGGGAGATTTGATGACCACAAAGGATATCTCTTCCTTATGGTTACCCCCTAAACACAATAAAACTGGTTCAGTAACCAAAGAAAAAGAGTTTAAAGGATGACCATCTAAGGCCACTACTGACAGTTTGTGGGGGGTTGAACAAAA